GTTGGTGGGACCCTTGATCCTGGGCCACAGGGGAGTATTTGCTCAGGAGTTAGGAATGAGGGTGCTCTAGGCTCCCTTAACAGCTCATTTAGGATGGAGCCCCTGTGAAAAGACCTTAGTTCATAAGCTGTTCTGAATCATTTTCAGGAGGAGCCCTTTTCCCTCATTAAAACGTAATGATGTAGGGGAGCACCCTCTGATGCCTAGTGTTCCCAGTGTTGTGGAAAACCTGTATTACTTAAAGCTGAACAAGACCTTGTGCCTTTTCATAAGATATCATAACCTCTATGCATTTACTAACACTATTGCAATACCTACTCTTGAAGCTATCTTCAAAGACCTCTGCAATTATAATAACTAATATACTTTGTCCTGGACCAGGTTGTTAAAGACTCATAGACATATAAGGGTCTGGAAGTGTTGCTGGAGTGCTAATACTCTTTACAGCCGGTATTGAGTATACTTGTCACTGATCTCAGATACAGCAAGCATCTCCAGTAGTAGTTGCCTAATCTGATCGAAATAGGGTACTCTGATGCTTAGAGGAGTCCCTTACAGCTTGGAGGAGCTGCGTCTGACGGCTGACTGCCACAGGCTCTTTGTGTACATTTGAACAAATCAGTTTCTCTGAGTCTCTGGTCTTTATTTTCTTTATATCTGTATGACAAATAGTGTGCTGCCTCACCCAAATGTAGTGGAGATGAGTATGCTGAAAGGTTATGACGTCCTTATACATTGAATTAACAGGCACAATGCAATGCCTGAAATAGGCCCCCCTCCGCTATCGCTGCAGTTCCCCAAGAGATGATTTCATGACATGCATTTGCTGAGAAATTACATGCTCTGAAGCAGTCATCTAGTGAGATGCCTGTAATTTCTTTGCCCTGTGCCATGGCTAATTCACAAATGAGTTTATTAATTTAAATACGAAAGCAAATAATTCAGATTTGCGAGCTTCCTTGTTTTTTCCTGTATTTATTCCATATGATTTTTGCTGCTCACATCTTGCTTTCTGATGGGTTGCAAATTATTAATGTGCCATCCACTGAGAGAGGAATTGCATGTGGTTTTGTAGTTCAGAAGAACCTTCTGGTGCTAAAGAAAAAGTGGAGCAATTGAAGGATTTTGACATACAATATCTTTTCATTAGTGGTTCAAAATAGTGTGTCCAGCAGGACTAGGGCAGTGATTGGTCCCCTGTATTCAGCACTGGTGAGGCTGCACCTCAAATACTGCGCTAGTTTTGGGCCCTTCACTACAAGAAGGACACTGAGGTGCTGGAGCATGTCTAGAGAAGGGCAATGAAGCTGGTAAAGGGTCTTAGGGAAGTCTTATGAGGAGCAGCTGAGGGAACTGGGGTTGTTTAGTCTGGAGAAGAGGAGGCTGAGGGGAGACCTTACTGCTCTCTACAACTACCTGAAAGGAGGTTGTAGCAAGGTGGGTGTTGGTTTCTTCTCCCAAGTCAGGAGAAGACTGTCACAAGACAGGATGAGAGTAAATGGCCTGAAGTTTTGCCAGGGGAGGTTTAGATTGGGTATTAGGAAAGATTTCTTCACTGAAAGGGTTGTCAAGCATTAGAACAGGCTGCCCAGGGAAGTGGTGGAGTCACCATCCCTGGAGGTATTTAGAAGACATGTAGGCATGGTGCTTAGTGACATGGTTTAGTGGTGGACTTGGCAGTGCTCCGTTAATGGTTGGACTTGATCTTAGAGGTCTTTTCCAACCTAAACGACTCTATGATTCGATGATTCTATGAAACTGCCATTTTGTTAGTAGGTAAATACACATGTTAAATGGGGGGCTGCTGCAAGCACTGAGTTGTGTGCTTGATTTTGTAGCTGAGAATTTTCCCATTCTAATAGACAGGGATTTCTAACATTTAACAAAGCTAAGTTTTTAGTGGTTTGCTTAATCAAGGTACTAGACTCTTTGTTTCTTACTGAAGAAGTTCTCAATGAAAGCAGTGAGATAGGAACTTTGCATGAAATACTTTGTCGTTGGAAATGGCAGCATGCTGAAGTGAAATGGTTTGTGGCAGTACACTGATGTCAGGGTTTCTGTGGGAAGGTTTTTTGAATTGTTTCTGGACATGATGAGAAATAGCAATCCCAGAATAGCCCTGTGATTGGGAAACACAATGAGTTTTTGAGAGTTATGTTCAAGTCTGCTCTGACTTACTCAAAACAGGCCTGAAAAGTAGATTTGTTTTGTCTTGTTGATGCCCATAGTTTCTTCGTCTTTGTAACAAGAAAAGCTAATGGCAGCATTCAAAACTGAAGTACAGTAAATTGCTGCCTTTGCCTGTTCATTGTTGTGTGTAATTGAAAGGACTTCAAATTGGATCTTGTATCCTGGATGGTTTCAGGACAGGGAATAATTCAGAACAACAACAACAAAAATATAGTAAGCAAGTATATTTAACTCTTTTCTTCTCTACTGAAATAAAGCAGGAATCTTCAAAGCTTTGCTGATAAATTCTGGGGGAAAGCAAATCAGACTGCAGATGTGGGACTTAAATATTCAGCCCTTGAGAGCTAAGAATTAGAGTGATTGTCTTAGGTTTATTTCCTCTCAGTGTCAGGTAATTTTTAATTCTGAACTTGACATTTCACAAACTTGTCAGTCTTCACTTTCCTACTGTAATTTGTCAGGTTAGGATATGTTGTAAAGGTATGGAAGCCTTAAGGATATACTGGAGTCTTTGCTGCAAACCTATTGTAAGACTGTGTTAATTTTGTATCATCCTGTTTAATTGCCATGGCCAAGAATAACCTTCGCCTTAACTTCCTTCAAGAACAAGTAAGGCACTCTAGTGTTATACCTACCCTTCTAATGGCAGTCCATCTGTGCCACTAACATGTTCAGGACTCAGCCTGTTCAGTCCAGTGGTAAAGGCTTGTGTTTTAGCACTGAAGGTCCCTGTCATTACACAAAACTTAATTCCTTAGCAAAGAACAGTATGCTGACCACAGATGGAGGACAGTTTCTTTTCTTAGGTACCCATCCTTCCACCCCCAGCCCCTACGAACATAGAGCCACTGTCGCCACAGTCTCCACGCGGTAGGTGCGTTTTGTACCAGGTTGGATCCTCTGTATTTGCACACCCTGAGCAGCAAGTGAATGTAGTGAGAGGTGGGAGTGGGGACCTCTGCTTCCTCAGTGTGTTGCATGTGCCTTCAGTGTGGCTGCTGGAGGTCCAACAGAGCAACATATCACCGCCCAAAGCAATAGCGCACAAAGCTGAGGAGTGGCAAATGACTACCTGGGGAGAATAGCAAAGAAAATTGAACAGCATTAAATAGCAGACTATTCTGATCAACTGTGCATTTGTCATTTAATATTTTGGCACTGTGCTTTTGTGGGCCTGAGTGAATGCTGTAGTTACATGAGTGGTAAAATGTTGCACTAATGTTCTAGCTTTTCCACTAAATTAATATTTACTTTAATGTTTTCAGTTTGTAATTCAATATGAAGTTGACCTACAAGCACTGGTAATTAGCTAGGCATATACAGTTAAGACAGGGTTCTGCAATATCTGTTTATATTAGTTTTATGGAGGATTAAGTAGTGGGAAAACATTTTAGTAATGTGCTAATTAAAAATGAGATAAAATATTTAACAACTTGAGAATACATTGTAAAAATGTGGAATGTTTAATTAAGGAAAATGAAGATTTTGTCTTAAAGTTGGTGATGTTGTCTCACATCTCGAAAGAAAATGAAATTACTGCCTTTTTTGATGAAGTGTTTCACTTGGCATCTTTGGAGATGTTTGCAGGAAAGCCCCAGATTAAGCTTCATGCTCTGCTGGTTTGCTCGCTGGGAAATGTTTTGGCCTGAGGCGTTGTACTCCGGCAGTGCCTGGTGGCAGCCTGGGGAGCCCAGCTGAAGAGGACTGTTTGGGCTGTGTGTAAAGCTGAAACTGTTTCCTTTTGAAAAGGAGTGGGAATAGTTTTGATTTAGAAACTAATAGAATTGAAGACCATGCAGCTCTGATAATGGCTCTTCTGAAAACAGCCAGGAAAATGGCAAAGATTGAAGCTGTAAGAAGAAAAGAGAGTGGAAGGAACAAGGAGACCGCAGAGTCAGCGTCAGAGTTGGCATGCAGCTCTGAAGGGGCACGGACAATGGCACTTCTGAGTAACAAGGTATCCAAAAGAAAGCTTGATGCTTGTTAGTGAAAGGCCTCAGGAGTCACATATTAGTATTTTTCAACCTCAGAAGAATCCATTTGTTAAAAAAAACCAAACCAATTTCAGAACGGAAATCTAAAATAGACATGAAAACCACAGAATGTGTTGTGCCTGTACTGTCCTTTCTCAGCTATTCAGCATCCAGCTTTTCAAGCAATCATCAGCCGTCTGTGATCCATCTAGGACCTTATCTGAAAAGAGACAGCAGATGAATTGCTAAATACAATTATGTTGGCTTGATGTTAAGAGTATACAGCAAGTTACATGGAAAAGCAGTTATGTTCTTGTAGGTCAGCTGGACTGAGCTGTATAATATTCTAGTGACAGTTAAATATGTGTGGATCAGGAAAAAGTTATTTTATTTGACTGACAGTCGATACTACAAAAAATAATGAGATAGGAAAGTGCTACTTTACTGGCAAGGGAAACCAGGGTATTCTAAAACATATTAAAAATTAATAGGAGGGATGAGAAAAAATCTGGAGGAAGGCAGTGGCGCACGTTGCTGTATGGACACGCGTCACACTGATTGAATCTATTTAAGCAAAATCTTGCACTTAGTGCTAGGAAGATACAAGTGAATTTGCAGAAGTATCCTTGTAATCATCATCAATGTTGAGGCTGCTTAACATAATGTCAAGAACCTGCAAAATCTCCAACCTCCAATTACTGATGATGGAGCAGCCACATAACATGCCTGGAGACTTCTTGCTGGGAGCTGGGCACGTTATCTCAGGATTCTACGTGGTGACAAAGCGTGACCTGAAAACAGACTCATCTGTGTAATTAGTAATCCAGGGATTTATTCAGAGTCAAAGAACATGATCAGTTAATTAAATTGGTTACTGTGGACTTGATAATCTCCAGAGGGGAGTATCAGGATTTGCTGTAACCCATTGCAGTTGGGTGTGCTGATGGAGATGTCATGCTGCATAGGACACAAGAACAAAAGACATTTTATGAAGCAATTACCCCCTTCTTGTTGGCTGACATCCCTCATCCAAAATACATAAGGAAATGATCTGCTGAATAAGAAGCTTTTTCAAGGCAGTAGTTGACCAACCCAGCCCATGCCTTTTGCCATTTTGCCATTTCTTATGTTTCTTATGAAGCCCTATAAAGAAGCTTCATGTCTGCAGTCGAGGTTTCTGTTTTCTATAAAGGAAACTACGTCTCCTGTAGTCTGGCAAGAAAACAAAAAGGAGAATCAGTGCTCCACCTCCATAGGAATGGGGTGACAATTGCATTGGTATGTGAGACTCAGCAAATGGAAAATTAATCTTTTTCAATGTTTGGATATATATATGTAAAACTGCGAAGAGGTTTGGTTCAGTAGTCAGAACATAGGTTTAGAGCCATTGGAGGTGGGATATGATATGATACTTGGATCTGCTGGGGGGTGCCATGGCCAGGTGGGCTCAGACTCGTAGCTAGCAGGTCTGTACTGCACTTACAGTTCAGCACTGGTGTCATCCTGAGTGATTTGGGCTGTTGCTTAGTCTTGAAACAGAAATATGCCATGCATGACTACCCTGAAAACATTCCAACCTCAAAGCTATGCAGACATTTATTACTGTAATTATACATATTACTGTTGTCACCAAGTTCACCTTTTATTTTTACAGTCCCTAAATTAGTCTGAGGGTGTTGCATTGTTTAACCATGGTTTAAATATTTAAGTAAAATTTAGAGAAGTGAATTAAAACTGATTGTAAACAACTAGCTTTTCCTGGCACAAATATCCACAATTTTGTCCAATATGAACCACTCCCTCCCAAAGAAAAAGCATGCTATTCCAGCATGGGAAGGCAGTGAAGCTCCCCAAGGTGCATGTGTCCATCTGCGTGCTGTAAGCAGCAGGACTGCCTCTCATTCATTGTGTTAACAGTGATTCATGTGTGACAATGCTTCAAGGCCCTTCAAGGACCTCCTTTTAAGGGTTCAATTTTGAATGCTCTGTGCATGTTTTTTCTATTTACAACTAACAGTATTTCTCTGTATTGTTCTTCCAACAAAGCAGTGTCTTTTCAAAAAAATGCTGCTTCTCATGTTAATGAGAATTTAATATCTTCAGCTTTTCATAGTTCATTAACATATAATTTTTTAAAATGAAAACTGTATATAAAAAAGTAATTTGCCAAAAATCTTTGCTTTTCAATGAGAGTTTTTTTTCATATAAATGTATATTGCCAATGAATTGCTAATGATTAAAATGTGGGATTTAAAAATAAGTAATAAATGAGAACTATTATGCAAAGAATGAAACAAAGTCTCTTCTTTCAACATAGCCAATATAATTTTGAAATTTTAATGACATTTTTTCTTTTCATTCAGCAGCTTCACCTTTTGGCAATTTAGTATATTAAATTATTGACTTTTACTGTAAGCTCCTTTTATTAATGGCATAGGTGCATTTACTTTACTGGATGAAAGCAATATGATTTCAAAACTGCTGTTGTAATTTTGTGTGATATCATGGACTAAGTTTTCATAAAAATATAAGAGTGTAAGCTAGCATTTATATTGCTAATTACTAAATTGAGGAGCATTTGATTTGATGGCGCTCCAATTCATCTGAAATATAACTGAGACCCTTACTCAACTGAGAAGTATTTTTGTTCAGAGTATGTATTGACATGGTTGACGGTTAATTGTCAGACTGTATCTTTGAAGCAGAACACCCTTAGCACTGAGGCCATTCATATTGTGGAGTGCTTCAATTATTTAAGCTTTGCTGAAAATTTCTTTCTGTTGAAAACATTAACAGTTGATTTAAGGGTGAAACCTTTTAATTCATGCATTAGACACTTTACATTTAAATAGCAAGAAGTTTTCTATATGGGCTATATGTGAATTCCCTAGATAGGAATCAGTTTTGTTCTAACTCCTGCTGGATTTTGTGGGGCAAATCCCATCTCTGTTTTCTGTCTGGCCTTGTGTCTCTGTTACCTACGATGATTTTAAATGCTTTGAGGAAGAGTGTGCTGGTTGCTGTGTGCACCCAGAGCGCCAGGTACTGCGAGCCCCATCCTTGGCTGGAATCTGCAGCCAGCGGCTGTCGCACAGGAGCCAGCTTTAGCTCTAATGCAGAGTGTTGCCTTGGTTTTCAGCAGTGCCCTTACCTCTGGTCGTTCAAGCAAGCGAAGCCCCTCACCGGCTCTTGACTTCTGCAGCCTCAGACGATCAGTGGAGTCATTCGCTGTTTGCTTTGATACCCTCATGGACAAAGAAGGTTTTGTTCAAACGAGAGTCTTCTGTTAACCGCCAGCTGGTCAGTAAAAGACGGTTTGCCACTGTTAGTATTTGTAAGGTTTGTAGCAATTACATCAAAAGTGAATGTTGCTGGGAATTTACTACCCAATTAGTACGCTTCTAATTCTGTCTCAGATGATTATGTTCACTTGAGATGGCTTCAGAAACACCAAAGAATTGTTGTGACAGATACAGCTATGTGATTGCTGCATAAATTCTGGTGGACACTTAGTAAAGAAACAGATCTATGTAGTCTGATGAACTTTATGCATAGTCTGTGTCGTTGGGGAATTGTGATAGCCAAAAGATGAATATATCAATTAAGATAGTAGTAATTACTTGTGGGAATAAGTAGTTCATACAAATTTGGACTAGAAAAAAAGATTAACTATTGGGATAACAAAGCTTTAAATTTGAAGGTGATGAATACCTCTACATTTTCTTTTTCATTTCATTATTTACATAATTTAACTTGTGCTGCAGTCTGTGAATGATGATGTTTTCATACGCTATATAGACGTTTCCCCTTCCTCCACAGGCTGAAGATGTGTCCAATATGTCAGTGTCTTCTGGATTTGGAATAACCCTTCAGAAATGTGGTGTGGTAAGTCTTCTTACATTTGTCTTGTTAATTTAGTAGGATGTCTGTACCCAAATGTCCTTTAAAAAGTGGGAACAAAATTGTTCCCATGCTGAGTATTTGGGGGAAGGTCCATTTTGATGTGAAGATGGTCACACCTGCTGTAGGAGATGCACAGTTTTGCAACGTTGATTCAAAACTGAAGGAAGTAAGTGCAATCTTCTGTCAGACTTCAGGGAGTTTTGGACTGTGATCAAAGTAAATACTAATAAGAATTTGTAAAACTATAAATGGGCAAAGCCCAGTGAACTCTAGAAATCGGCCACAAGGCTGGGTAGAGGTAGAGACAAACTTCTGTAGTGGATGAGATAAGCCTTCTGAGGTGCTCTCCTGGCTCAACCGTGGGTGCCCTACCTGTGTCAAGTATGGATGCCTTTCGAAGGATGGAGCACTGAGCCCTGTGATGCCCATTGTGTCTTGGGGCATCCTGTCACACAGCCATGGAAGAGCCAATGTGTCATAGTCTGCATGTTCAATGGGACTCAGCTACAGCACAGTGTTTAATGAAAAAAAGGTTTCGTTTGACTTGTGTAAAATGCTTATGAAGAGCAAAGACCTCCCTACTAGACAGAAATTTTAAACCTTCCATTTTATGTTTTCTTTATGTGGCATAGGTTGACAGATTTTCCTAGACTGTTATTTTTCCTTTCTCTTTTTTTCCTTGGGTTTTGTTTTTTTTTTTACACTGGATGAAGCAAGTCTGAATTTTTATAATGAGAGACAGTTCATCTTACCTGTTCCTTGGAGAGAGAAAGCGCATGCAACATTAAGGCAAATCTGAAATCAACCACTGAAATGCTGCGTATGAGAGTGGAGGATTCAGTAACCAGTACAGAAAAGGTGGCATTATAACCTGCACCAGATCATTTTCATAGAGAAGAATGTATAGGCATCACATATCATGGCACTAATTACCTATAATGTTGTTATTGAAATGGTGGCATATGATAATTAATCAGGCAGAATAGTGAGCGTTTCAGACATAAGAAGCAGTGACACAGAATTTTCTACTTTTCCGGCTATGGGTGCCCAATATTTATATCAGAGCCTCTCAGAAGGAGAGTTTGATACATTCCATGTTGTTTTTTTTCTGCTATTCACAGTGCAGCCTCACACAGGCTAATTAAAAATTGTGAAATGCTGCTGTACAAGATCAAAAGTTAATCTGTTGTAGATGCTAGGATTATCAGAAAATTTTGCAGTGCTATTAGTTGTAAATTACTGGAAACTATGCAAGTGTGTGTAATTGTCTTCCACCTTCAAATGCAGTTCACATTTTATTTTTCTTTCCTTACCTTATCATCTACTTCAATCCTAATTCGTCTGAACAGATGCTTTCCTGCTAAGAGGCAGACTGGCCATATGGTGGTCTTTAGCTGTTTTAAACGGAAAAAAGTGAATTCTGCACATTTTCCTCCTCCTACCATGAGTAGCTCCTCAGACCATGGAGATGACATATGTTTACTACTTGGAGTCAGGGTTTTTCCAACACCTTATCGCAGAAATGCCCTTGTTGAAACAGGGGTGTTTAAATTTTACCTATGTTTCTAGCACCTAGTCCCTTCCTTCTTCCCAAAAATGTGCTTGTTTAAGAGCTTCATTCCATAGTAGGACATGAAATTTTCTGTAATAGTACTTCACAATGACAATAATCTTTAGCAGAGCTGAAGTAAATCTTTAAATTTGACTGCTTAGCTTTTAACACATTTACCTGTCTCATTTCTCAGTCTCCTAAGCTTTCTTGCATTGCAGAACATCTATAATTCTACGATCCTTAATTTTTTTTCCTGCTTTCCTGTTTCCATTGTTCTAAGTTATTCCCAAAGATCTGCTGTTCCTTTCACTTCCATGGCAATTCCTTCCTCCTCTCTCTCCTCCTAGCATGTCTTTGCACTTGCTGTGGTTCTTTCATTCCACTCTCACAGGTACCTGAAGTGACATTGCTTGCAAGGGGCGATGACACACGCACACTGCTTGGGCAGCAGAGAGAAAATGGAGTGTGCACTTACGGATCATCAGTGACTGCCATTGGGCTTGTTTCTTGTAGATGGCTGGTGGCATAATCACCTGCTCCAAAAGCAAAATGAAAGATATTCAGGCAAATTAGAGGGACAACTTAAAGCAGATATCCAGTGGCCGCTGATGCCAATGGTAGCAGCGTATGGAGGAGGTTCTTTCTAGGAGAGTTCAAACCTAAGGGCTTCTCTACTGCTTGATTCTAATCTGCTGCTTTCTCCAGTGCTATCAGTAAAAAAAATCCAGATTCTTTCAATTCCTTTGCCATTTAGCTTAAAACTGACTGCCAGTCGAAACTAAAGAGAAAATACAGCAAATATCGTCTTTTGGCCGCCTAAGTAAGACTATGGTAAGAGATAGGTAGTACAGTTGGGATACCTCTGAGGGGTTGCTTTGTTTAGTCACTGAATGAAGAATTTTATGAAACAAAATGAAGAGAAGGTGCAAAATTAGTCAGAGAAAGAGAATGAAGAGTGTGTGGGAGTATGCATTAAACCTCTTGCCTCGGGGAAGGAGAGGCTACCATATTCCCCAGCCTGGCTGTGAATGTACACATGCTACTTTCTCTGCCTATTTTGTTGTAGGAATTGTTCTGAATTACTGTTTACATCCCCTCTCCTCAAATGTAAAGGAATATATTTGTGCCTGATGAGAAGCACAGGAAGAGACCCTGAAATCCTCATTTTTTCCCTTCATCTCACAGAAGAGCAAGGGAAAGGTATGGGAAAATGAAAGGAGAAAAAAAGTTTTTCAATTTCCCCGTTTCCCCAGCTCCCTCTTTGCTGTTTGATACATGTTTGTCTGCACAAGCCCATCCACACTTACTGTGGAGCATAGTACAGTAGTAACAACTCCTGTAGTTTGAGCCTTGAAACTTTCAAGGTGTGTTTTCTTGTTTTGATGATCCTGTTGCATTTTGTTTGTGTTTTTTAAAGCAAGCTTCTAGCCCTTGTGTCTGCACAGGAAAGGTTGAAAGACATGTTGACTGCATCGTGTCAGTTCAGAAACCAGGAGAGAGAAAGGAGAGAGAAAATCTGCCCAAAATACATCACATTTTTAGTATTTAGTGATTTTAAGTCTCATAAATGTTGGGATATGCCTTACGATATACAAACATATGAATTTGGTAATGCTTTCCTCACAAATATGATTAAGCCTATTTTTATATGTGCTGACAATTATTTGCAGAATCTAGTACAATAAATAGTGAATTTTTTTCCTCTGTAAGATTTGTTTAATACAGAAAATTTAGTGTAGTATACCAAGGAGAGTTAGTTACATAAACAGATTTATTAAAATATACTTTAATTGTTGTTGCTTAAATAGAAAAATGCAAACTAAGCAATAATAGTTTCAATAAACTGTTTCTTCTCCTTGATTGATAAGATACCCTGTAATCTGTTTCTATATGGAATTAGTATGAAATGCAGAGATCAGTGGTGCACAATGAATTAGTAACTACATAATTTGAACCCTGTGTCTTCCATGAACTCTTTTGTGATTTCTGAAGTCTGTCACAGTTCATAATTTTAGAACTCATTTCTGTGGGGACTGCTTTATTATTTATATGTGCTAGTGTGCAGATACAGAGTAGACATTTCCTGAAAAGGAGGAGGAAAAAAAGGGAAGACATGTCCTGAATCATACTTTGGTCAGTTAAATAAGTGTTAATTTGGTGTCATTATTAGAAGAATATATAGGCCAGCATATTATAGACTGGATAAAGTTTTAGACAATTCTGATTTAATATGAGTTGTAAAGGAAGGCATTTTTTTTGGAAAGTGAGAAGTCAGTAAGCAACTCTGTGCTCAAAGTAGTTTAATTTAGAGGGTATAATTATTCAGTAAGAGTTCATGGCCTAATAAATAAATAAATATAGTCACGTGAGCACGTGTTGCTAGAGATTGGTGATTAGCTTATGAAGTTCACCACAAACTGGAAGCAGAGCCATGAACTCCAAGTCCACTGATGGCTCCATCAGCTCTCCCATGGGAAGTGTGAATCGAGACAGCCGTCACCCTTCAGAGAGGGTGGTTGCTGTGAAAAAGGAGGGAAATAGAGACCAAAACTGCATGGAAGGAATGAATTTGCAGCGAGGGCAGCTTGCAAAAGAAACAACTTTGTGGTGCAGAAGTTCAAAGTTAAGAATTTTCCAGACTGATTATAAAGTTATGGTCCAGCTCTGTATTGTATGAGTTATCATGGGGATATTCAGATTCTTGTTTTCACTTCTGTCTCTGCATCAGCTGGGTTTCCAGCCTCTGGCTTTCTGTCCCTTTGTCTCCAAGCAACAGCTTAATGTACGAAAGATTAAGATTTCCTTGGGAGTTTGAGATCAAACTGAGTGTAGTGCCATTTGCAGGTTGCTCAGAATGCCTTCAGAAAGTAAGTTTACACATATAATGAACTTTTATTAGTAATCAAGACTGTGAATTTTGCTGATGCACATACAGCCATTTTGTACCATTATTACTAATATTTCTGTTTTCAGGTGGATGTTGAACATGACCCTCAAACTGCACACATTACGCTCCTGATTAATAACACCAACATGCCGCTCTCAACAAACATTACAGATCTTATCCTTCTGGACAACATCACTGGTCTAGATGTGCAAAAAGCCAGTGGTAATAAGACCACAGATGACATGCAGATTTACAGGAAAAGATTCTTGCAAGGTAACGAAATCTGCAGGGAAGTACCCCTGATCACCAGTGTGGAAGAGCATCTGTTCAAATCATGGTATTATTTATTTATTTATTGGTGTAAATTCTCCAATTATTAGTTAATACAGGTGAAAAACTCTGGGAAATGTTTCATGCTGCAGTTTACAATTCTGTTAACTCACATTTGGACTCTCACCTTTGAGCTGCTTCTGATCTCCCAGGCACAGAAGTTGAGCCCCTGTACTCTGTAAAAGTCACTGCCATCAAAATGAAACAGAATCTTTCATGGTAGTATTTGTTCATTTTGGATATTTTTAAAAGCTGCTGCACAAGCCATTTTAATCATAGCTGACGAGTCTTCCTTCTTTAGCTAAGCATGACAGATTGGCTTGCTGGGTATAGAGGTGCATTGGAATTGCAAAAGGCCATGCAATCAGGCAAGATGATTCATCAGAAATAAGGCAGCTCTTCTCAGTATCCGTTCTCCCCAAACTGAACAAATTAGAAAATCAAAGCAGGTAATAGAGAAACCTGTTCCACTCTTGGAGCCAGGCTGTTCCTTTGGTAGCAGTTGGATCATTGCACATTCATAAAATTTTACCTTTCTTGATTTCTTCATCTCTGTTTTCTTAAGCACAAAGAAAATGAGCAGCTTGCTTTTGAGAGTGATGATATTTCCCTTGGAGCTTCAGAAGTGTTTAGTGCTATCTGTTTGTGGTTGAAGTATCTACGGTTATGATAGTGTTTTACTGGTGAAAGATTTCTAAAAAGGACCTTGGGCTGCTCTCTGTTTGCAAATGGATAGCCAGACTCCATTTCTAATAACAGCAGTGTGATTAGTGGTCCTGATTACAGGGCTGGGTTTTTTTGAAAACGTCATGGAGTTGCTGGCTCTCAACAGAGGTTCCTAAGAAAGAATGGTCCATGAGAAAGAACAGAAAAATGGCTTGCAGAGCTGATCCAGTAACCAAGTTGGAGCTGTTATTTAATTTATTTGTAACTACTGAATCTGGAACTGAAGCTAGGTTTTCCAGCCCGTATGTGTTGCATGAATTAGCATGAAGAATACTGAAGTGGAAGAAAATCCCACAGAAGAGATTTCTGCAAGATTTCTGCATAGTTTAAGGTTTGGTCATTACTATGTCAGTCCTGGACTCAGCCCATACCTTGCCACTAGGGCTGGACAGAAAGGCTGTGCCTTCACTGGCCTGTGTACTGTCATGCTGCATGTTAGCCATAATAATTTTTCAGTGTTTCAGTGCACTGTGAATCAAAATTCATCTGAAATCTCAGTTAGATTTCTCTTTGGTTTCAACGGAAGGAGAACCAGCCAGTTAGTGGTTATATTGTAGGCTATCCATTTATTATTTTTAAATAGAATCAAATAGAATCGCAGAATACCAGGTCGGAAGGGACCGCAAGGATCATCTGGTCCAACCTTTGTTGGGAAAAGCATGGTCTAGATAAGATGGCCCAGCAACCTGTCCAGCTGAATCTTAAGTGTCCAATGTTGGGTACTGCACCGCTTCTCTGGGGACATTATTGCAATGGCTGATTGTTCTTCTTGTGAAAAATTTTCCTTTTGTGTCTAATGTGATTCTACGCAGGATTAACTTATACCCATTACCACTCATCTTCTCCATGTGACTCCTTGTGAAAAGGGAGTCTCCGTCTTCTTTGTAGCCACCCTTTAAATACTGCAACACGGTGATAAGGCCTCCCCTAAGCCTTCTTTTCTCAAGGCTGAACAAGCCCAGTTCTCTCAGCCTTTCCTCATACGTCAGGCTTCCCAGTCCTTTGATCATCTTTGTGGCCCTTCCCTGCACCCTCTCCAGCCTGTCCACAGCTTTTTTTAATAGAGGAGACCAAAAGTGAACACAGTATTCCAGGTGTGGCTTGACAAGCGCTGAGGAGAGTGGGATAATGACTTCTTTATCACTGCTGGGGCTACCTTTTCTGATGCAACCCAGCATCCCATTGGCTTTCTTTGCCGCTGCAGCACACTGTTCACTGATTTTGAGCTGCTTGTCCACCAGGACTCCCAGGTCCCTTTCCACAGGGCTGCTCCACAGCTGAGTAGATCCCAGCCTGTGCTGCACTCCTGGATTATATTTTCCCAGATGCAAATATCTCATGTTGAGTTTTAGTATCAGTCAAAACATGATGCTTTCCAGTAGCTTTAGGCATCATTTAATAAAGTTTCCAGATCCCAGGCCAAATTTGCTTGAGTTCTTAGAGGCAGCAGATGCAGAGGGTGTTGCTGGGCTCATGTGGCCAGGAACCGTCTACTCTGGATGTAGGGCATCTGCTGTGCCAGAAAGAAAAAGCTCCAGTGCTGTCCCAAACCTTCCCCAGGGATCTTTAAGAAATTTTCCTGGGACAGAGCGAATCTATCCCTGCCCCTCCTCTCTGGAGTGTGTGGGTGGGCTCTGGCTGCCTCCTCTGCTGAATTCCCTTGAAGTCAGTGTTGTAAGCTTACTGCAGCTTGGTTCCTAGGAGAGCACTTTTGCTGGTGAGGACACACAGTCTAAAGGGGAACCTCATAAGCTTCTCAGATGTTTTATTCATAGTGAACTTACTTTTCAAATTTTGCAAACGTCTGTAACTGCAGCTGAGCTCAGCTGGGTGCTCAACTCTGAAGAGATTCACACCCAGTCTTCTTGTGTAAAAAGAGATGTGCAACTGTACCAGGCTGTTTTCAAGTCAGTGAAGCTTGTTCTGTTTAATAAAATGCAGACACAATTACTTAGAGGGGACTATTGCACTGGCAGATGCACCTCGCCTGCTTGATCTACACGATTGGGTTTTTTTCTCTGTTTTAACAGGTGGAGAACACTTTGTAATCAACTACTCTGCACTTCTTGATCCAAAAGAAATGTGGGATGGCAAGGTCTTGACACTGCCTGCGAAGCTAACTTTCAGGACTTTATCACAGGTATTTCCTTTACAATTTTATTTTGCCCTTCACAATTATTGTAAAAAAAAAAGTCTCCAAGGTGGTTATTGTCTGCCTAAGCAATGAGGCTTGCATGTAATGAAGTGAAGTTCTTAGGCTCCCTGATTGTTTCTAAATACATGAGTTATCCTTCATAGCTTAGAAGTCCTAGACCTCCTTACATAAGTGAAGTATGCTTTTATGTTGTCCTGTAGCTTTTGTCTCTACTTTTTATATTTCTCTCCAGTTTATCTGTGTATCCTGGAAATAATGATGTTCCACAAACTGATGTATGTATTCCTGTCATCTGTGAGAGATTGAAAGTTTTGCCATATTTTTATCAGAAAATAATTTCTTTTAACCAAAAAACAAGTTGCAGCAAAGAAAAACCTCCTTGCTCATAAGGAAGACATGTTTTTAGTATGAGAGTTGTGAAGCTCTGAAAGAGATTTTTTCAGAGAAGCTGAGGAATCTTCATCGTTGCTGATTTTTGAGAACTAACTTGCACCAGGCTCTGAGACAACCGGTCTAACACTGGAGTTAGCTTGACTTTGAGTAGGAGGGAGGACTAAGGAGGCAGCAAGTGGTTTCTTCCAAAGTAAAATTTTTCAATTCTTAAGTATGACTTGATATTTTTTCTGTGGTTTTCATAATTGCATGTAATTAGAACCTGCTAAACCTGCTGTATCTCCTTTGTTTTAGAGGAAACAGTGCTCGATGTGCATGAGAGTGGTACTAGAGTGGTAGAGAGAAAGACTGTGGCTCTTGTTCTGTGCGTTTTTATCAACCCAGATTTTATAGGCATAGAAAAATGTAATTCTGTGAGCACCAGAACATGGCTTTCTGTGATTAGAAGGGGAGTGTATCCCACAGAGCAGCTGCTTCCTTGTCTGTTAGTGTAACCCCTAAGGATGCTGCATTTTCCTATCAGATTTATTTCAGGCTTAACCTTAATGAGAAGTATAGCTTATCTTCTAAGGAGAGGCTTTTCTAGAGACTCTGGGCTGTTTGCCCGTGGGTTCTGCTAAGTTTTTTAAAATACATGTAATATTTTTATATCTCTCTCAGAATAAAACATATCTCGTATCATTGACAGCATCGTTCACCATAACTGAAGAAGAAAACAGCAAGGTAAATTCTATCATTTGGTATTATGTTGACTCTCCTGCTTAAACTTCTGGACAATCTAAACTAAATCCTAAGAGCTAAGGTTGTACTTATATACTTACATCTCATCACTTAGCTATTGGCTATTAATCATACACACGTTCTACCTTCTCTGATTTTCAGAGGAAGAAAACGGGAGTGAAGATACAGGGTCTTTGTTGTCTTAAACCAGCAATATTTAGTATGGAAAATCTACGAACTTCCATTATATTCCTAGCCATGTTTTTTCATTTGAAGAAGTGTCCAGGCTCAGAGAACTGTAATGAGGAATATGCTTACCTGCTCCTGTGCCTAGCCGCCATGAGAAAGCTTTTTTTCTTTCCAAAAGGACGGGGTTATCCTCCACCTATTGAGAAAAGGTTTCTGTATCCTGCTGATACACAAATTGGAAAATAGCTGTGTGGGGAGTCTGAGAAATGAAACTGCAGTAAGAGAGGCATAGTTTATGTTTGCCTTTTGCTTTTTAGTCGTCTTTCCAATGCAACTTTCTGTTCTTGGCTTCTGAATTAACATGGTTTCTAAGAGACCAAATAAACCTTCAAAATTACATTGACTGTGGCAAACTATTACTCTTCTGGATAATTTTTTGTGAGAGAACTCCCCAGTGCATCCATCAGTTTTGTTGCTAGAGTAATCTCTTCACCAAACTTGTTTTTCTCCCCCAACCCCTCATTACCTTGACAGCCTGCTGTGTTGCAAGGGGTTATTTTTTAAGGAGCTGTGCGTTGGTTGGCAAGAACACTGTGATTATTTGTGTTCAGTGAGAAGAAAATAGTTTGTTTCACCCCAGAACTTTTTTGCCATGGTTGTGTCATTTGAAGTCTGAAGTTCATGCGGATGGGGCTTACCTGAAGAGGTCCTGAGGGCTAGAGCTGGAGAACTCATTGTTCCTGGATAAAAATCTAGTAAGATTTAAATGATTGCACACTTGCATAGCTAAGAATCATGCTTGGAATTACCATAAATGTATTTTTTGGGAACTCTTATTCTTAAAGGTGTAAGCCATGCAGTGACTTATTAGAAATACAGAAATATGAAAAATAGGGTCATGAATGGTTTTCTGTAGGGTTCAGTGTGAATTGATCTGCAGCAGTTGGTGATGTCTAAGCTAAGCCTGTATGCTACATTGGTCTCAGCCCACCGTGACAATTCCTGCAATCTATTACTATATTTAAAACCTTTATAGTGTGGGATTTTTCCAACTTCATAGTTAGACCTCAGTAAGTTCTTGGGGACTATACCATAGTTAGGTAAAATTGGCTTGGCTGCATTTGAACTTAGTAAATGGACAGGTTTTCTAATTAAAATATGTGGTAAAGGTGTGTGGAGAATATGGTTAATTTTTGAAAATAAAGCTTAGAAATTATGGAACACATCATGTTTCACATGCATAATATTTGCCTTTGGGCTGTGGTCAGGCATAAGGTAATGAAATCAGTTTGTGCAAGGAAATTATGATTAGCTGAAAAAGGTGCGATGTATTGTATTTCATCCATATCTTCAGCTGTCATAAATGCTCTCAATCTCAGATTTTTTTTATTAAAAGTCATTATTTAAACCTGTTCATGGGTGTGGTAAAGCCAACACACATGTGTAACTAAGTGGAGACTAAATGTTGACTTTGGGGAGAGAAAAGAGAGGAATTAATTACGTAGTCATGGCAGTGCCATGCTAAATTGATTCCATTTCGCATGGTTTGGTTGCACACTTGGCTACTGTGCTGTTCTTTAAAGTTTTACAAACCCTGTGGATTTTCTCTTCTGCACTGCTGGAAGAAAGTGCTTGGTTGCCTGTGACAAGGTAATTTTGTCAGTTATGAAAAAATACGAGAGTGTTGCTCTCAGAGTGTCTGTGCCAGGTGTTTTCCCACAGTGCTTCAGGGGCTGGGAGTACTGCGTGTCTCTGCCCTCAGCTGGGTGTTTTTGGTGCTGAATGGGAAGCTGTAGTGAAAAGGACAAGAGGAAGTTCTTCCATTTAAGCACATTGCGTGGGATGGATGATAATAATTACTTTGATCTGATTTTTACCAGGCTTGCTTCCCTCAGCATCTTTCAAATCAGTGGGAGTGCTGCAGTTTTTGAAAGAAATTTGGGCCTGTAATCCCTCTTCCAGCTTTTGGGGTGGCTTAAAAAGTTAGCTTAGGATATGGGTTTTGAGGCTCACTGGTGTGTCAGTGGTTTGAAGGTTGGACTGCATTGCCACCACTGGTCCCATGCTGTGGCTTGTGCAGGGGCTGTGGCACTTGCACCACACCGTCTGCTGTGATGCTTTCAGATGCCGTTAGGCACCTGCTGTGTCCTCCTGCTTGGGTTTGCAGCCCTCCAATGACATGCACTGTCCTTCCAGAACCCATTTTCTTTTAAGTATGAAAGCACAGATAGTTCCCTGTCCATTTTTCTCTGTTGGAGCTTAACCTCTGACAGAACTGCCTGCCCTGATGCAAACTGACTGTCCCGCCATAGGTCTTGCCTTTTACTTAGAAAGCACAGTATCATTCCCTAGCCAACACTTTTTCTCCTTAAAAATTTAACCAGCTTCATTTCAGCTTCACTGAACCCGTAACCTCACCAGGTTTCCCTAGAAGCCTGGAGAGATCCCTAAATTTCACAGAGTGGTTGGAAATTAGACAAACGTGAGTGAATTCAGACAAAATGATGAAGTGGTTCAAGAGCAGCGTTTTTTTTCCCTGAGTATTATCTACAGCATCTCCTGTTCCTTGAAAGTAGTGGGACCTCAGGCAGAGCTTAAGGAGAACCCTTCTTTGATTCCTTCTTGGCCACCTAGTGCAACTGGAGAAGCTGGGGACAGCAGATTGACTTAAAGAGGAATTGCATTTTTTTCAAGTCACACACAGATGTTTGTTGGCTCTGTGGCTGTTCAAGGGGTACGGGCTAAACCCTTTTGATCTGCAAAGGAAGTAAACACTGGGTAAGGGAAAGGAGTTATTAAATATTTACAAGAGTTATTTAATATTTACATAATTGTCTTTCAAGATGAAGATATTTTGATGCAAAGTGATGCAGTTTTAACTGAGCTTATGGCAAGGAACCAGGGGGCAGTGCAGAGTCAGAGGAAGAGAGAGCTGGTGCTGACACTGATGTAGATATGCTGGGTGTTCTTAGTGGTCGGCCGTGGTACAGGGGAGCGTAATGGAAGAATTGACCAAAGTGGTAGGAAGTTACATCAAGAAAAAAGTCAGACAGCATGTTGGTAATTACACATGGAACCGAGAGATTAATGCGTTGCTCCTTTTTTTTGTTTTCTTTCTTGTTTTCATTTAAAACTTAAAGATATTGAAAGGTCTTAGGAGGAATTCAGCATGTGCCTCGCTTACTCAAATAAATACCTAGTGCCAAAACATTTTAGTGAACCTCAGAGTGCTTCAAGGGTTTCATTATTTTAGACTAAGCACATTAAAAAAAAACAAAACAAAAAGCCAAACCAAGCGTACCTCTGTCGGTCAGAGTGATTGTTGATTCTACATGTACAATACTGTGAAGTAAACCCTGGGTCATGTTCTTGGAACTGTGCAAGTGCCAAATAGTAGCCTGTATTAAGGTCTTGATGACTTGATACTGACATCATTGCCCAATTCAGCTGAAATCATGTTGAAATCAGTAAGTGCTGAACATCTCCAGCAGCTTTGAGGAGCTGAGGCTGTGAAACAATGAAGTCTGCCATGAAGCAGTTCCTTTCAGTTAGATACAGAACAGATTTTCAGTGTACAGAAACATATTCGAGAGAAAAAAAAAAAAAAAAGGCAGTAAAACAGTATCGTTCTGTTGTTAAATTGGAATAAATCCTTTTCAAATTGCGGACCATGTTTGATTATCACTTCCTATGCAGAATTACCATGGAGTCCATGGAATCTCAGGTTTCTGCTCCAAGAGATGACCAAGTGCAGCTTGCCAGCAGCCTGTTAATTATTTATGCTTTCTAGCCCCAGCAGAGTGATTAGTTTGTGGTGAAACATTACACTAATAGCTGTGCTATGTTTTTCATCCAAAGATCTCAAAGAACTAAATAAACACTGTGTTAACTTTTGCTACATGGAGCATGAAGTAAAAATTAATTTTTAATGAAATGCAATTTAAAGATTAAATTAAGAGCTAGAGTGAAAGGCCTACAACATTGTTAGCTGGCTCGCGGTTCCGGTGCTCCTGCTATTCTTTTCTGGCTCTGGCTTGTGCACAAATTGCAAGGGTGCACACAAATTGGGTTGTTTTGTCAACTGTCAGTTACATATTTATTCTGAACTCATATTAGTGCTTTTTCCCTTATGGTGATTACTCAGTTTTATTGAATCAAGAAATGGCCGTTAATTAAAGGTAGCCAACATTAGGCTGATTTTTCTCAGACCTTCTGAGCAACACCAAATGCCATCAATTTCAGTGAGACTTAGGAGAGGTTGGCAACACTGGAAAACAGGCTGTTAAGTACAGGACACCCAAAAGTCACAGCACCTGAAATTCAATATATGGGAGTTCTGTTGCCTGGAGTTAAACAGGAATTTGGACTAGGTGAACATAACGAACCATGCTGACTTGAAAACCTATGGAAAACAGACACTTGTTTGAAAACATTGATAAAAATGTAGTAATTATAACAATGCTGAGAAACCCTGAAGTTGTGTGAAGCCATTTTAAAATAATTTACTATGTTGCTTACAGTTGTAATTTCTGATCTTTATGTATATTTAAAATGTAGTTTTAATAATATGGTCTTTTAATTTCAGATTTCGTACAGCCTTGCCATCCATGCTTCAGGGTTCTTCATTGCTTTTTTCATTTCCCTTGTATTGACATGTGCTGTTTTTTTAATTGTTCACCGAACCCAAATATTAGAATGGAGTTTCCGTAGTAAAAACCAGGTGAGTCATACTGTCTGTAACAATACTTTATTTAATTTTTTGTCATTGATCATATCTGATGATAGAACTTGCTAACTGATACAGATTATCTGAAGAGTTTTTGAAGATAAATAAAAAGCCACCAAGTGATGGATTGGATTCACAGGTAATGTAATCTCTACAACCTCTAATCTTGAGCGCAATCAGATTTAGAGGGGAATGTAAGAATGATAATCTGATCAAAAGAACTGCTGTGGTACCTGGATGTTAGCTTCAGACTAGAGGGAGATTACCCTTGAGCTATTAGTTTCTTTTCATATTCCTCACTTCCTCCTCTCCTCTTCTTCCCTCAAAAGGAGAGGTAGGATGTCTGTGGGTTATAAGCAGCTGCCCAGGGAGAAGACTATTCACCTCGAGCACAGCAGACTTGGGTCCAAAATGTGTTTCTGATTGTCAGGAACAGGGATTTGAATTTGGGTCTCTCAGTTCCTTGGATGTGCCTTAATCTCTTGAGTGATTAAGCGTAACAGTTGGGTTTGGGGATGGAGCATTTTCAGTGTTCGTTCTCCAACTGTGCCAGTTTGGAGAAAGTATTTCAGTACGTACTGGGAGGGAGAGAGAAAATACAGAATCTGATAAATATTCATCAAGTTGGCCCGAGTTCCAGACCTTGCTTCTATTAATTATGTATTTATGTAAAGTGGAGCAGCAACTTCAATGGGAGGGAGCTGGAGACCTCAATCAGAATATTACAGTGATTGGAGCAGTCCTGTAAGAGATGTGTGCTCAGAGGTTTGAACACCTTCTCTGCTCGGACAATGGTGGATCTCCTATCCCTCTGGACTGACCAGAGGAGCTCACAAATCTCTTCCAGCTGTATTTTCTGCTGTTGAAAATTATTCCATCAACAATTTTTATTTCTTTTAGGTCTGAAAATATAATCCCTTTAACTGAAAAGGGCATGACTTGTTTCTTTTTACCAAAAAGGCTGTGAGAATGAAAACATAAAAAGGGGCCAGTTTGGTCCTAGCATCAAATACTTATAGTGTTTTTTCTGTATAGTAATTTTATGAGCCCTCAGTCTCGAGGGAGTGTCACTGAACTGCAAACTGAGTAACTTCCATCATTCCTAGGATTAGATTTTCGTGTTGTTCACCTTGTACTACTGTAATCTTGCCATATATAATTTGTATACCATGATGATTTAAAAAAAATGGGCGTAGAAAGTTTATAGTGGAGGATAACCTCCTACAAGGCTTTCACAAGCCTACTGAAGTCAGTGTAGAGTCTTCTGTCTTCTCCATTCATTTCATTACTTGTATTCCAGATCAGTTATACACAAAAAGTTCAGCCTGAAACAAAAGTAGTATATTTGATTTCAGATACATCTGAATTGCACAATCCTTTTAAACCCTTTCCAGCTGTAGATGATAAGTAGGAACCTTCTCATGCAGTTATCTGCAATAAAATTAGATGAGATGCTCAGTGTAAATTCTTTTCATAATCTGAATTTATTTATTTATTTATTTATTTATTAGGAGATACGGTATGAACTCAGCCAAAGTCACAAACTGGAGCATTCTCAGTTGAATTCAGGCGATCCGTTTAGTGAAGATATAATTATGAATGACCAAATCATCGATATCCTGTCCTTTGAAGAATCTGGGAACATGCTCCAGGCATTAGAAGAGTAAGAGTTCACTGCTATTACGTCATATTTTTTACCTTTATCATCAACCCAACCTTTGAATGTGCTTTGAGTGTTAACCCTTTAATGTTTTTTTTTTTTGTAGTGTCTGTTTATGCATATGGCTGCACTACTGTAGGGTTTTGAACTGTGTTAAATAGCAGTCTGTGGGAACTGAAAGTCATCATATTTCATATTCCTTCACCTGTAGAAGTCACAGCTCCATCTAGGCCTTAGGCATGCAAGTTTTCCAATCAAAATGAACATCTGGTTTTGCCTCTCTGGTTCACTAAGTAAAGGGAAACTTTTCTGTGTACAAGAAAATGTTGAAAGGGTGTACTCTACTATTGCTGAACACATTCTGCTTTCAAAAGGGTGGCTTTTGTCCTGGAAAGAGAGCCCCCGCTGGGTGCCAGCGTTGCTGTTTAGCAGCATATTTTGGAAACACCTGGATCAGAGTCTAAAGGTGTGACAGTTCATAGTGCTGCTAGGAAGATACCATGTACCTGCAGTTGGAGGGACCACTGAGTAGAGCAGAGATGCTCTTCTGATGTTGTTGAAAGGCCAGTCAGGGCTGTTTGACAGAAACATGCCATTGTTAAAGGTCATCTGTTCTTCAGCTGAGTTTGATAGAAAGGTCTGATGTGAGGACAGAGGAGACCTTCTTTGTTCAGTCTTACTGTTGGCTCCTGGCAAGTCAGGATACAGGCCGTATTATGCAACTATAAAGTCTGTAGAAGCTGAAAACAAAAAGTTACGGGACCATGGAAGTAATTTTCTTTCTTAAAGGGTAACTAACAGCATTATTATTTCCTGCATGTCCTTGAAAATTGGGTTCCTTATCTCTGTAAATTGCCTCTTGGTCCTGGCTTTTATAACTATATAGCAACTCAGGCTTTGAGAAGACTTATCCTGAAAATCATTATGTGAATGTTAAGAACAGGATCAAACATTTTTTTAACTCTCTTTAGAATTAATTTATTCAGGGGTAGTGAATAGGTGGCTACTTTGAAAAAAAAAAAAAAAAGCTGGACTATTTTCAGACACATTGTGGTTTAGAAAGGTAAATATTCTTGCTAACTTTTGGATAGGATTATTTTTATAACTGGATTATTTCTAAACCCATAAAACAGGAGTCATTTCTTAGTTTATGTATCCAGATGCTGAAGTTTTTTAGTATTCTTATGCAGTTAGCACAAATGTCTCTCTCTTGCTTCCATTTCTTTCCTCACAGTTTCTACTTTCTCTACCTCTAAGGAGGTAGAGCATTGCAGTAAAGAAAATAGATGCCCATTAGCAAACAGTCAGTAACCCTCTTCACCTTCTGAGTTTTCTTTTCCGTCTTCTGGGATGAAGATGGTAGATGGACCACAAAGGCATCCAGAGTTACAGTAGTTCCTGCTGCCACCGCAAAGATGATTGAGGGGATGATAGACATTACTGTGGTGTAATCAGCCTCTACTTGTTAGCAGTGGGTGCTTCCTAATGCCTATTTAGATTATCCAAATTCTTCTAATTTCTTATAGTTTCAAACTGGGCCTTCTGATTTATTTACTGTTAGGAGGTGACACACAGATGCACTTACCATATTTTTTTTCCTATTCTTTCCCTCTTTTTATTGACACTCATTTAATAAGCATATTCAGTTACTACATACCCGTTCGTCTCCTCTTTTATCAGTTTATCTGAATGAGTGAGGATCTCTGCAATGTGAACTCCCACACCAAGTTGCCCTGAGTTCCCCTTTATTACTCGGGGATGAAAAAGGGCACTTCTAGGATATGATTATTCTCATCCTAAAGTAGACTTTCAAAAAATGAGTCGTATGGCTGCTGCTCCCACTGACCCTAAAAGCCTGCAGCCTGGGCTGATTAGCTCAGATGTCGGGGTCTGCGGGTGAGTGAGATGAATCCCAGTCTTGCAGGCTGGTTGGTAAAAAAGGCTACAGCATTACTTAAATGCCTTTATTAGATACATGCAATGTTGTTTCTGCCTTCTTCAGTAGCTATAATACATCACTCGTTTTATCTCTCATTGTTAACACTTTTATATGATATTTAGCTTAGGATGCTTCATCATCTCTTAATGTTGATTCCTTATTAATTCTGCAATGTGGGGCAAAGCAGTCCTTTAATTTCTGATCTATATTCCTTAAAGGTTTCATTTTAGTCTTGTACTTCCTAAACTGTTGTAAATTATCCAGGTTTTTAGCTGATTGCAAAGACAAAGATAAAATACTGTACCATTGCTTTAGGAGCTTCTGTGACAGGGTTCTAGGCTAAAGCTGGAATGGAGTAATCCTTCTTTTTACTGAATTACCTGCTTTAAGGATAGTAATTTGCAAAATGTAATGGGGAAAAAGACAGACTGTGTGTTTGTAATTCATTAATGGATAATTGCAGTCAATCTGAATGGATTCTGTGCTTGAATGAAATGTTGTAATTTTACTAATTGTGGTCACAATCAATTTTTCAACAATATTGCATTTTCTTTTGTTGCATTTAGTGTCACTCAATAGAATAGCTGTTTTTTCTGTAGAGAGCTGAGGAATTAAGTTTGTATTGTCTTATGGGAGTGGCAGAATACTGAGGCTTCTATTTTTAGCACCATTTTTTCGTGTCGTATGTATACCAGTATGAATTTTAGCACCGTAATCCTGGTTTTTATTGTTTGGGGAGGCAAAAGTTTAGAGGCTTTTGTTAGAGAGCTTTTGATACTTGAGATATTTTCAGCCAACCAACAACATTTTGCTTGTATGCTAGTTTGCTAATTCCTTCTGCATGTATTGGTGCAGCTATGCGTTGTTTTTTCTGCGTGGCATGCGTGTAAGCTTGCCAGCATAATTGATACCTTCTTTTTAAATTGCGCTGTGATAGTAAACACGTTTGGAATCATTCTGGTGCTTTGTTCTTTTGTCCAGACACAAATGAGAAAATTACTCATAAAAGTAAGAGCCACAGAATTTTTTTATCCTCTTTATGACATAAAGCTACGTTAATGTCTTTTACAAAGCAACAGTGCCAAATTGTTTAGCAAATACATTAGGAGCATGTGTTCAATATTTATGGACAGGGACATCTTTGGAGTTGTAGACAGTTTGCAGTGTCAGGAGAATTGGCTAGAAAACAAAACATACTTTTAATATTTCATAAGGAAGCTTCCTAGTTACTCATCTTGTGAGTTTTGTCTTAGTAAGTCGTATCTTTGATATACACTATGCAGCAAAATAGCGTGGCGTTTATTCTCCATAGGTGTATATGCCTGAATATTGGCCTGTTGGCAATGAATGCTAGTGAGAAGAAGCTATATGATTTGAATATTTGACATGCACACTAGAAGATCATGTTCCAAAATGTTGTGCGTCTCTTTTTCTGTATGTCTTAGAACAGAATATGGAGAGAGCTGAGCAGTTTGGGTTTGTGTCCAATCTGTTGAAGTCTGACCATGCTCACAGACTCAGAAAAAGCAGATAAAGGCAACTTAATTTCTTTAAAGGGCTTTCCACTACTACAGCTTTTCTTTTTCATCTTCAGTTTGTACAGCTATGCTTCCTTGAGTTTGTCAAAACTCTAGCTGAACTTGAACCTGCTTGCTGATATGCAATGCATACTGCCAATTATTTTGAGAAATCGCTAAGTAATATGTATGCATTGCAGCTGATTTTTTTCTGATGGTAGAGGACGTTGAGGCCAATGTACTAGATTACAGGATCAAATTGTCTCCAGAGTGCCTTGACTCTGGAGAAAAGTCAAAAACAATTTACTACCATATTAGAAGTTCACTTTTTCTTTCTAAATGTAAATTTCTTGCTGTACATCTCAACTTAATCTGCTAGGAGCAAATGTGGTTTTTTTTAACCCTACATTCAAATGGAAACTAAGAATAAAAGATCACATTGTCATAGCAGCTAGACCTGAATATTCCTACGCAGAAAATAGTGAGAAATAGTTATGTTGTTAGTACCAAAAAAAAGTTAAGGTGTTAAAATTTCTGGATTTCATAACTTTTAAAAAGTGTAATCGAAATTTTAGAGTTTTTGAAGGGAGGCCATATTCATTGCTTTGGTTTTGTGCAATGTGTACAATGCAGGAGTAGAATAATAAATAGTAATCACATGGATATAACAGTGAAATACAGTGAAAACACATGGAATGAACCCCAAACCCTGCATTTGTAGTTCTGTTAGGAATGCTGTTACAAACTTGGCAAGTGTGTAAACTATACATTTTTTTCCATCAGAAAAACTCAAATGCTTAATAGGTGATGGAAGTCCGTAAGACAGGGGAACTGAAGAAAACAAGTAGTTTGAAATTAATGAATACATTATTTTCTTTCATCTAAAAAATGGCTCTTTGATGTTGGCAAACTACGAAGAAATTGTGCTCAGAATTATATGGGTCATTTCTGCTGTCCACAAAGAACAATTAATCTCATCCAGACAACAATCTGCTTTTGAGAGTAGTGCTGTTAGTGATGCTTGATTCCGTATAATTTTGAAAGAAAATTGATATCTCCTACTGTTTCTGTCAGCTGAATGCTTACCCCTTCTGAATAGGTTAGTAGAATCTGAGTAGATCCCAGCAAAGTTGGAAGCTCCTGAAGCATTAATGCATATAGCCATGATATTTATTTATGCTTTTCTTCATATGCAGGCTGAAATTGGTGCTTTTAAAATCAGTCGTAAAATGAGTGATAACTTCACTGGAAGCAAGACTGGAGTCTTTTTTACACTCTTTTTGCATAGTAGTTTTTCAGTGAAATGCCATTGTCTGAGCTCTCTTGCAACAGCTGTATTGTAGCTAGCTGTATTTTTTTAAATTGGTTTGCTGAAAATCACTGATTTATCAGTTTTCATACTTTTTGCAATTGAAGCAGAGGTTCTCAATCTCTTAAATGCAGGATTTTCCAAATATTTTTTAGAGAGATTAATTTAAGGATTGAAATACCTTTACTTTCTTTATATTGCCGTGGAGAGTTAAAGGAATTCGATAGTGAAACTGCTG